ACAGCAGCAGCAGCAGCATCAGGTGGACCTGGAGACAGGAGCTCAAACAACAGGCTTGGGGCCTACTTGGACAGCACCCTGCCAACCGAGGTAGACCAATCCCCTTGACTACTGGGCAACGAAACTTGACCTTTGGCCCCAACTAGCTGAATTTGCCCTTGAAAGGCTGTTTCATGCCCGGCCAGTAGCGTGGCATCGGGAGCGCGTGTTTAGTGCGGCAGGAGGTTATTGCAACTACTCGCGGAGGACACGACTGTCACCAAAGTGTGGAGAGACTCACGTTTGTGAAAATGAATTCAGGCGTGGATTAGTCTGGATTTCAAACCACCTGTTCCTGACACAACTGACTAAATCCGCCATGATCATGCCCCAAACATGTGCCACTTTCAGGTCTCCTCACACACTGCTTGTGTTTTCAATTTTTTGACATAGGGTGCTGGCAGATTACGGGCCTCCCATAGCTGCTGCCAGGCCCCTAATCTGCCATGGGCCCCTATATACCGCCTCCTCATGCTGCTGCCAGGTCCAGAGTCTCTCATGCCATGTGCCACTTTTCATGTCTCCTCACACAACTTGCTGGTGTGTTCAATTTTTTGTCATAGGGTGCTGGCAGATTACGGGCCTCCTATAGCTGCTACCAGGCCCCTAATCTGCCATGGGCCCCTATACCGCCTCCTCATGCTGCTGCCAGGTCCCACAGTCTCTCATGGGTCCCTGTACGGCCTCCCATTGCTGCTGTCTCCATCGCCAACACTCTGCCATGTGCCACTTTCAGGTCTCCTCACACACTGCTGGTGTGTTCCATTTTTTGTCATAGGGTGCTGGCAGATTACGGGCCTTCCCATTGCTGCTGCCAGGCCTGTAATCTGCCATGGGCCCCCGTACCGACCTGGTCACGCTGCTGCTGGGTCCACAGTGTGACATGGGGTCCCTGTACCAACGCCATCCATTGCTCCCACTCTGCAATGTGCCACTTTAACAGGTCTCCCTCACACTCCTGCTGGTTTCCATTTTGTCATAGGTTGCTGGCAGATTACAGGCCTCCCATAGGTGCTGCCAGGCCCCAAAATCTGCCATGGGCCCCCATACCGCCTCGTCACGCTGCTGCTGGGTCCACAGTGTGACATGGGTCCTTGTACCAGCCTCCCATTGCTCCCACTCTGCCATGTGCCACTTTTCAGGTCTCCTCACACTCCTGCTGGTTCCATTTTGTCATAGGTTGCTGTATGGCCTCCCGATTGCTGCTGCCTCCACCGCCACACTGTGGCTCACAAACACTGGTTTTTGTTGGCCCGTGATTGGCCAAATGAGTGAAGTGTGCGGTGATTCTAAGATCGACGGCACTCATCTGCATGTCATACTGAGTGACAGTATTATTTCTCTTCCCCAGCAGACTCCAAGGGCATTTAAATTAAAGGTACAGTGTTCTGCACTAATATTAAGTCTCTCTGAAGCCTAGAAACACCCTTTTTTAAGTTAAATTCACAGCGAATTTATTCGACTCGAATCGAATATTGTCCACGAATTCGCCGAATCAGTCGAATCGAATTTTTCATTTCTTCGCTCATCTCTAAATGCACGCTTCTCTTGACTACACAAAATATGATTGAACATATCACTCTTTTGTCTGAGATATTTACTTTGTTACAAACAGCAGGATTGAAATTGAGTACAGAGAAAGTTCAGTTGATGAAAAGACAGGTGGAATTCCTTCATATGCAAATTAGTCATGGACAGCGACAGTTATTGCAAGAAAAAGTTAGAACTATTTCTGCTTATCCAATTCCAACAAATCGCAAGGCTTTGCATCAATTTTTGAGTGAAGTAAATCATTGTAAAGATTTCATACCCGATTTTGCAGGAAAGTCTAGATCATTATTTGATCATTTGAGACAAAAAGATGGTGTATTTGATCAATGGAATCAAACTGAGAAAGAAGCCTTTGAACTGTTGAAAAGGGATCTGCAGAATGCTACTACATTAAGTACTGTTGAGTTTTGTAGTAAAATTCCTTTTGTATTAGAAATTAGTGTTTCCAATAATGCAATCTCAGCAACCTTGTCTCAATTATAAAAAGGTAATCAGAAAATAATAGGTTTCTTCTCAAGAGCTTTGACAAATCTAGAGAAAAACTTTGATGCACATATGAAAAAATTGTTAAGTGGTTTTTTTTTGCAGTCAAGGTAACTGAAAATATTGTGAGATCTAGTAAGATCATAATACAGACACCTGATTCATCACTGAAACTTCTCCTAGAGGAAAATGGTTCAACAGAATGTCGTGAAAATTATCCTAAATAGTACAAAACATTTTCATCCAAACACATTCAGATACATGTAACAGAAAGACATTTTCAGGAAAACATACCAACGCATGTTTGTACAGCTGTAGGTGAGAAGTTTTTACTTCATGTTTTCAGCATAAGAACTGAGAAAAGTTTTGAACCAGTATGTACTGCTACAGAACAGTCTAACACTACAAGAAGTAAGTCACAGAAAACAGTTACGCATATTTCGAATTTTATAGAGATGAGAACAAAGGCATAGTCCCTTGTCATCTCTGGGTTGATACAAAACCTCTCTGTTTTTAAAAACAAGGTTTCTGAATCATGACCAATAAAGGAGATGTAGCGTCCTGTTATATTTAAATTCACAGAACACTTTTAGAAGAATTTAGGCCATTTTAGGAAAAATAGAACAATGCAAGTCAATAAGAAATGTTATAATCAAAATATGTCTTCCATGTCATTACTAGAAATGTTTGTGATTGTGATATGTAATATTAATAGATAAATGTAAGAGGATTAATCAATGTAAAATTATCAATGCCAAAATAATGATATTGCATTTCTGTTACAGGAAATGACCTAAGAGTAACTGCTAAAAGAAAACTATAAAATATTTCTAAACCTTCCAGATGATAATACATTTTCCAAGAAGGAAATCTATTCTGGAAGAATTTCACTCATCATAGTTTTTGTTGTCTTTTTATGTTCAATAAAGTAATTTTAACTTTACAGAGTGCTAGAAAAAGACAACAATTCTCAAGGCATCTCATAGAGGAAGAACTTATAAAACAATTGACTTTTGACTACTGATGAAATAATTCATTCGTCAGATATATTGTTTTTTTTGTGTGTATATTTTATTTTTACACGATATGTTTACCATATCAAAATGAGATCAGTTTCCACGTGAACATTTGCAATCACACACTATGTACTTTCAGAAGTGTCAAATAAATAAATGAATAAATAAACTCTTAAATAATACTGTCCAAAATGTATATATGTATAATGTCCAACAAAATGAGTATTCCAAAAACAGTCCACGGGATGATGTTCCAGCAAGATGATAGTCCCAATAATTCTTGGAGATTAAACCTCAAGAAAAAGAGAACTAATATAGTGTAATACCAGAAATACATGGAATCAAACGAACATCACTGCAAATGCATGTGAATCACACTGAACCACACACATGTGAATCACATAAATACCACACGTGATCTATAGGTGAATATAAGTGTGAACAACATGTGTAAAAAAATTTTTAAGGGTAACACTTGCATGCAGTGTCAAATCGTGAGGGTGTCCACATCTAATGGATAATATACTATTACCAGAAATGTAGAAAATACCAGCATATAGATCTCAATCAAGAGACCACTTTGTAAATTTAGACAATAGGACACAGATCCTTCATTAATACACCAGCTCACTAATTGCCACTGACCAGGCTATGATGGTATAATCTCTAAGGATACTTCCAACAATGCTTATCTGCAAGCGCTTATCCCAGAGTATAAACACCAGAATTCAGCAGTACAACGCTCATCATCTAGGTATACTTTAATAATGTAAGTTCATAATTTAGCAGTAGATAGAGTAGATAAAACAAATGAAACCAAAAAAACGAAAAAAGCACAGCCAGACCCTCTGTAGATCCTCAGGAGCACTCTTTCCTGTGTCTGTGTATGAGGATTCCAGGATCAAATATGGCCGTCTGACAACTTCGGGTTGTGCTGTGCGTCCTGACGTCACTTCCCTTTGACGCGTTTCGTCACCTGACTTATTCATAAATAAGTCTGGTGTGAATCGCTCTCTTAAGGTCATGCCACAGCATTTCAATCGGGCTGAGGTCAGGACTCTGACTGGGCCACTCCAGAAGACGTATTCTGTGCTGACAACAATCCGTCCAGGCCCTAGCAGCCCCCAAACCATGATGCTCCCTCCGCCATGTTTTACAGTGGGGATGAAGTTTTGATGTTGGTGTGCTGTGCCTTTTTTTCTCCACACATAGTGCTGTGTGTTCTTACCAAACAACTCAATCTTGGTTTCATCTGTCCACAGTATATTTTGCCAGTAGTGCTGTGGAACATCCAGGTGCTCTTTTGCAAACTTCAAACGTGCTGCAATATTCTTTTTGGACAGCAATGGCTTCCTCCGTGGTTTCCTCCCATGTACTCCATTCTTGTTTAATGTTTTCCTTATTGTAGATGTGTCAACAAAAATGTTAGCATGTGCCAGAGATTTCTGTAGGTCTTTAGCTGACACTCTGGGATTCTTCTTTACCTCATGCAGCATTCTGCGCTGTACTCTTGCAGTCATTTTTACAGGATGACCACGCCTAGGGAGAGTAGCAACAGTGCTAAACTTTCTCCATTTGTAGACAGTCTGTCTTACCGTGGACACATGCACATCAAGGCTTTTGGAGATACTTTTGTAACCCTTTCCAGCTTCATGCAAATCAACAATTCTCGATCGTAGGTCTTCTGAGAGCTCTTTTCTGCGAGGCATGGTTCACATCAGACAGTGCTTCTTGAAACCAGTAAACCCAAAACAGGTGTGTTTTTTTTTAAGGGCAGGACAGCTGTCAGCAACACATCCAATATCATCACACTGATTGGAGTCAAGGTTGGCTCACTCCTGGCTCCAATTAGCTCTGGGAGAAGTCATTAAGCTAGGGCCTCACATACTTTTTCTTCCCTGCACTGTGAATGTTTACATGTTATATGCAATTAAACCATGGCACATCTAATGTTTGTGTAGTATTATGTTCAGCAGACTGTGTTCTTCTATTGTTGTGACTTAGATGACCTTCAGAACACATTTTATGCCCAATTCATGCAAAACTCCACATAATCCCAAGGGGTTCACATACTTTTTCTTGCAACTGTATGTGATTCACATGTGTGTTTTCAGTGTGATTCACATGCGTTTGCAGTGATGTTCGTTTGATTCCATGTATTTCTGGTATTACACTATATTAGTTCTTTCTCTTGAGGTTTAATCTCCAAGAATTATTGGGACTATCATCTTGCTGGAACATCATCCCGTGGACTGTTTTTGGAATACTCATTTTGTTGGACATTATACATATATACATTTTGGACAGTATTATTTAAGAGTTTATTTATTCATTTATTTATTTGACATTTGTTAATTAATAGCACTTTATGTATTATTGATTTATACACTTTTTGGGGTAAAAGTGTTTTTGTGCAATTGGGATATTATATATAGGAGAAACACCGTTATTTTGATATTTACTTTCAGAAGTGAAAGGGTTAAACCTTTTTTACAACAGAGTTACTCTATCCAGAACATCTGTTGTTAATTAAGCTAGAGATAGGTTTTTCTAAGGTACATATAGAAAAACTGAGACAGGCTTTACATTGTTATATGTGTGTTTTTTTTTACAAAAATCATTTGATATACATGAATGAATTGAAGTTGGGGAACATATGTTATGTTTAAATGTTGATAAGGTAATTTGAAAATATGTATGGATTATAGAACTGTGTGCTACACACATTTTGGAGGGAAAATATGAAACATCTATTTTTCAAGTGACATACATACTTTAAAGTATTGTACTATAATGTTACATTTATACATTTATTAAGGAGATACATTATTTGGTGAAAGGAAAATAATAAGGGTAAAAATATTTTTATGTGATACAATACAAAAAAATCATTATAGAATCAAGTTGAATATATGTTCAGATCAATTATCTTAAGATCTAAAAACGTATGGATGGATACGAAAGTGACAAGAATGTGTATAAATGGATTAAGATAAGGAAAATGATTAAGATTTGATAATCGATCATTTTGAGAGGGAAATGTTAGAAGCTTTCCTTACCTAATATCTAATATTTGCTTATTAACAGTACTACTAACATATGTATGAATGAGTTGGATCGTAATAGAATAATTGAGTTGTTATATTTCTATTTGTTCTAGATTGGGAAAAGTAAGATAAATAGACTTTTTATAGTCTATGTGAATATATATATGTAAAAATATATATATATACACACATATGTATATACTGGATATCTTGGGTTTTATCTCTACATTCAAGCAACATGTGGTAGTAATTAGTCTAGCTATCCCTCCCCCATCTCTGTAAGCTAAAGTTTCACTCAGACTCTGAGGGGAGGGAAGAAGACTAATACATCTGTTGTCATTTATCATTGTGGGACTACAAGAGAATACCAGCCCACTTTTAGGAGATGGTGGGGGCTGAATGCTCCTTAAAGAGCAGAACAAAGACTTTTTAGGGACGCTTTTTAGAAGCCTAGATTCTTGACACACAGCTTCACACCACACAATCACATGTACGTTTTTTTTTTAAGAACTTAACTATATTTTTTGGACATTATCTAAACATTCTGTACTCCAATATTGTATTTCTAATTTTATGCAACATTATTATTAAATCAATTTTTGAGTTTATGCAAGAGTTGGAAGGAATTTCTATTTTGGACTTTTCTCATCAATAGAAGTTAACCTCCCTGGCAGTATTCCCGAGTGTAGCTCGGGGTAAAGCTTCAGCACCACAAGCGGTAACCCCGAGCTACACTCGGGCTTACCATGCAGCGCTGCTCCAGGATCTGTTCTTCACTTACCTTGTCCTGCTCTCCCGCGATGTCCCTCCTGCAGTGTCCCCCAACAATGTAATCCGGCTGATGCCGGCATCTGTCATCCGGGTTCCGTCCCCTGCGAGTGTCGAGACGTACGGGGGGACGGAACGGCGGGAAATTTGAAAATGACAAAAAGTGACATTCACTAAAATCACATAGTATAACATTACTGTATCAAACCATTTCACATACATTTTGTCCCTAGTGCTTTGTCCTGTGCCCTGCCTACATTTTTACTGTTCTTCTGCCTGGAAACTGATTTCGAAACGTCCATGATCCCTTTTTAGACCAGCTATAGAACAGCGATAGTAAATTCAAATGATAATTTTGTGGGGAAATCATCAGACACTAAAACGATCGACTTTGCTCAGTGATGTTTACTAGAAATTTCACTTTTGTTTGATTATTATTGTTAAATGTACAGATTATTTCAGTGATTATAATTTATGATTTTGTTTCAAATTTTTATCCTAATGTTTACTAGACTCTTGTTTGGACAGATTTCAGTGAGTTATTCCTAAAAATTACAGGCCTACAATAAAAAAAATACATATTTCCATGCAAAAAAATGTATCGCTTTGAGCACAGAAATATGGACATAATATGGACATAATCAGACCGCTAGGGAGGTTAACAAAATATCGAGACAATACGGTATTTTACATGCTTGTGTTAGAAAGCATCCTCTTCTCTTTGCATTGCTTTCTTTGTGTGAAATTCCTGGGTATTCTGCCAGTCCCCCTGTTTTCCTATTTAAACTGACCACATCAAGCACAGTAGCACATCCATTCAAGCATGGTCAGTTTTCTGGCTGAGCTGGGAGCACAGTCTGCCTGTCGTCCAAAGCTCAGACTTGTGCTGACATGCCCCCTGCACAACTCTTCACTGGGAAGAGCATGATCACTTATTAAAAAAAGAAAATAAAAAGGTATTTAAAATATATATATATATATATATATATATATATATATATATATATATACACACACACACACACACACACACTGTATATACTATGTAGTGATGGGTTTGTAAAGTGAGTTCATGTGTCAGGAAGTATAGTTAAAGAGAAGTATGGCTTTGGGTTTTATTCTCTGTCCCCCCTGTTTTTATCTGCCCCCCTCTGGCTCTAGGTGTGATAACTCAGCAATCACATGATCGCTGAGTTCTCACAGCCGCTCTGAGCAGAGTCAGTCACCGCTGTCTGCTCTGCCCCCCCAGCACTCACTTGAATGCTGGGCTGTGGAGGGGTAGGGAGTGCTGGCTCAGGCTCTCAGTAGTTCACTGTGAGGCTGAGCCAGGCCCCTCTCCAGAGTCTGTGGTGGATCCCGACTTTAAAGTCGGGATCTTTCCCCAGTCTGAACCTACTGAGTGACATTAGCCGACAGCGGGCTTCAGCCCATTGTCAGCTGAAAATGGGTCACAGGAGTGCAGAACAAAATGTATTCCTGTGATCCACAGAAGAAGTACAGCCAAAAGAGCTTTGGCTTTACTTCTCCTTTAAGGGTTCAGCAGCCCGCTTTTATTAAATGAAAAGAAAAGTGGAAGTTCAACACAAATGGATTGCCCATGCACGGATTCTTCTCCAGCAAATACAAATAACAAAAATGCAGAGCCACTTGGCTCTCCTGTCGGCACCACCGCTACTCTCTCTGGTCTCCCAAACCATGGGCTTTTCCGGCTCACTCAGCTTATACACACTATACACTACACGGACCCTATTCCTGGCCTTCTGGATAGGGTTCTCCCAGGCCCCTGAGCATTCCCACTTCTCAAGAACGCAGGACTTCCTGAAGCCCGCTCTGTGAACTCGCTACTCACCTCAGCTTTCTCAGTTTCTCCGAACCCATGTAGCTGTCCAGAATTTCCCAGTCCTATGGGTAAGAGGTTCCCCCAACATACGGTCTTAGTCCCCCCCCAAAAGCAGGTCACCCCTCCTGGCTGGAGCACACCACTATCGTCACACAGAGACATCCTCTCTAAACTGTGGTAACTGTCTTGGGCTACTCTCATAAAGAATAAAAGTGCTGGGTCCTTAAAGCTGTGATATTATTAACCTCCCTAGGGGTCTGATTATGTTCATGTTTCTGTGCTCAAAGCGGTACTTTTTTTGCATGGAAATATGTATTTTTTTTATTGTAGGCCTGTAATTTTTAGGAATAATTCACTGAAATCTGTCCGAACAAGAGTCTAGTAAACATCCTGGGTATGATAAAATTCGAAACAAGAAATCATAAACTATAATTTAATAAATAATCATAAAAAATAATATAATAATACATTTAATTCAATAATATAATCAAACCAAAAACAGTGAAATTTGAAATATAGCGCCAAGTTTGCACATCACTGAGCAAAGTCACAAAATCGTTTCCAGTGTCTGATGACGAATTTCCCCACAAATCATTATCACTCAATTCTGCAAGTAGTTCTAATTTACTATCACTGTTCTCTAGCTGGTCTAAAACTGCTTTTGACCTAAAGGGATGCTTTTTGGACACCGTGGACGTTTCTCAGTTTCCAGGCAGAAAGAACAGTAAAAATGCAGGCAGGGCACAGGACAAAGCACTCGGGACAAAATGTATGTGAAATGGTTTGATACAGGAATGTTTTTACTATGTGATTTTAGTGTATTTAGTGAATGTCACTTTTTGTCATTTTCAAATTTCCCGCTGTTCCGTCCCCCGTACATCTTGACGTCGCAGGGGACGGAACCCAGATGACAGATGCTGGCATCTGCCGGAGGACATTACAGGGGACATTGCAGGAGGGACATCGCGGAAGAGCAGGACAAGGTAAGAGAAGAACAGATCCCGGAGCAGCGCCGCATGGTAAGCCCAAGTGTAGCTCGGGGTTAACACTTTTGGTACGGAAACTTTACCCCGAGCTACACTCGGGAATACCGTCAGGGAGGCTACAAGAGTTATAATTCAGTTTTTTAAAAATTGGTTTCTCTGGGATGTTTAGTTCAGCAATAATGTTTTACTACCCGACTTCCACTGTCAGCCTATACACTAATTGCATGCTTTCTGGATTGCATTCCTTCACTAATGGTACAAGACAGCGATGTCCACTACCCCCTCTTGTTTTCATATTATTATTGAGCCACTGGCTCAATATAATAGATCTAAATAATCTATCACAGGGAATATGCATAGGTGCCCAGGAACATCAAGTGGGATTGATGTGATTTTCCAGCTATGTGATCTCCATGATTAGAATGCCAGATACTTCCCTGAGAGTAATACAAAACACTAATTTTATCAATGTCTTTTATTATAAAGTTGACACATCAAAGTGAGTTCCAAGTTCTCCATTCTTTGGAACCTCATCAAATAAAATATTTAGGTATCTATTTGACCTCTAGGATTTTAGTAAAGGTACACACTTAACCATAAAAAATGTAAATAATCTGTCCCCTGACCTTAAGATCCTAGTTGTGCTTGAACTGTCTGCAACAGGATGCATGGGGGTTGATTTACAAAAGGCAAATAGACTGTGCACTTTGCAAGTGCAGTTGCTCAATAGCTTAGTAAATGAGATGAAGCTCTGCTGACTTCCATAATCCAATCATGTTCAAGCAAAATTGATGTTTTTATTTATTTTCCTTGCATACGATGTAAAGTGAAGCTTTACCTCATCCCCTAAGATGGAGAAACTGCACTTGCAGAGTGCACAGTCTAGTTGCGTTTAGTAAATAAACCTAAAAAGTGCTTATCCTGTCACTTTTACATATTCACCACATTACCAATCCCCCTCCCTAAACCTTTTTTAGATGTCAGATTCAAAAACCCATTATTGTCTATTTGTGGGATTATAAAAAATCTAGATACAGACTTGAAAATGAATAGGGGGAATGGGACTCCTAAAATGTATCAATATTATGAAGTGATTTTCTTAGACCAAATGAAGCACTAGTGGTCTGCTACTAGTAATAAATAGGGATGAGTTCCCCCTAACCTGAATTTAGTTAGAATCTTTCCTGTTTGGCATTCGGTAAATGGCCAAACTAAATGAAGTGTTTGCCCGCCTGCCAAACCTCTGCTACATCAGGCAATTGTAAATTTAGCAATAGTATTATTACTGTGGCTAAATTTAAAGGCTTCCTGCTCAGGCTGGTTTTTAACCAGAAAAAACAAAAATATGATCCAGGGAGCCCACACCTGTATAAAGAAGAATGGGGTGCCACCAAATAATCAAACAGGGTGTTTCCATAACACAAGTTACACAAACAAAGCTAAAAAAAATAGGCTTACACATCCATTTGGCTACTACTTATAAATTTACTGAAAAAAAAGACAATAAATAGTAACATAGTTACATACTTAGTCTGGCTGAAAAAAAGACAAACGTCCATCCAGTTCAACCATTAAAAAAAAAAAAAAAGTTATAATCCTATACCCACAGTTGATCCAGAGGAAGGCAAAAAAACCCAGCAAAGCATGATCCAATTTGTTCCTGCAGAGACAAAAAATTTCTTCCTGATCCCCTGAAAGGCAATCGGATATTCCCTGGATCAACTTCACCTATACATGTTAGTATCCAGTTATATTCTGTGTATCTAAGAAAGAATCCAGGCCTTTTTTGAAGCAATCCACTGAGCTGGCCAGAATCAATTCTTGAGGGAGTCTATTCCATATTTTCACAGCTGCTCTCACTGTGAAGAAACCTTTCCGTGTTTGGAGATTAAATTTCTTTTCCTCCAGACGTAAATAGTGCCCCCTTGTCCTCTGCGGTGTCCTCAGAGTGAATAACTCTACACCAAGTTCACTATATGAACCACTGATGTATTTATACATGTTATAAAAATACAGAAGTGATGCAGCGCTACTCTGATAATATTGATAATACTATATAAATAAACATATAAATGAAAAAGTGTATAAAAGTGACACAATGTGCAACAAACCCATACGCGTTACGTCACTCAAGTCACGTGACTTAATAGTTTTCCACTTTATTTGGAGTCATGCATTTTGTATAATATAGGTTCACATTTGTTCATAGTATTGATTGTGTTTGATTTGCATATACATTGATTGTGTATAAAAACACTTTATATTTTTTGGGATTTGGATTTTTTTTATGTTTATGCACGTTTTGGACTTTTCGGACTTTTCGTGTGTTTGCTTGATTTTTACCTTGAGTTTATCACCATTTAGTCTGATGATTTGGGCAAAGTTAATATATTTGTTTGCTTGATCTGTTTACACTTATTATAGATCCCTGGATCACTTTGGATTCTAACTTTGGTTGTATGCACAATTATACCATGCGATCCGTATTGGTAAATTTGAAATTATCATCATTTGAGTGGTTCAAATTTACTTTGAGTGTGTACATCTGGGATCCATTTAGGATCAGTTCACTTATTATAGATCCCTGGAGGATCAGGTCACTGTTTATGGGTTTGTTGCACATTGTGTCACTTTTATACACTTTTTATTTATATATTTATATAGTATTATCAATATTATCAGAGTAGCGCTGCATCACTTTCGTATTTTTATATCTTGAATCATTTGGGTATATGATTGGATACTAGCAGCTTCCGTTATTTATTTAGACTAGATAAAGGTTTTTAGGTTTAAGCTCAGGAGGTTTCCACCATTATTTATACATGTTGATCATATCCCCCCTTAATCTCCTCTTCTCAAGAGAGAATATATTCTGTTCCTCTAATCTTTCCTCATAGCTGATCTCCTCCATGCCTCGTATCAGTTTGGTTGCCCTTCTCTGCATTGTCTCCAGTTCCCCAAAGTTTTTTGTGAATTGGTGCCCAAAACTGAACTGCATATTCCAGATGAGGTCTTACTAATGATTTGTACAGGGATAAAATGATATCACTCTCTCTGGAGTCTATACCTCTTTTAATACAATAGAGGATTTTGCTCGCGTTAGAAACCGCAGCTTGGCATTGCATGACATTATTAAGCTTGTGATCTACCAGAACCCCCAGATCCTTCTCCACCATTGATTCCCCCAGTTGTACCCCCCCAGTATGTATGATGCATGCATATTCTTAGCCCCCAAGTGCATCACCTTACATTTATAAACATTAAATCTCATTTGCCACATAGTTGCCCAATTAAACAGTGCATTGAGGTTGGCTTGTAAGTTGAAGACATCCTATACGGACATTATTCCACTGCACAGCTCGGTGTCATCTGCAAAGACTGAAATGGGATTTTCAATCCCAGACCCTATATCGTTTATAAATATATTAAAAAGTAAGGGTCCCAACACTGAACCTTGGGGTACACCACTGACAACCCTAGACCATGCAGAGTATGAATCATTAACCACTACTCTTTGAATACGATCTTTTATCCATTTGCATACAGATTTTTCCAAGCCCGTAGACTTTACCTTACACATTAGCCGTGTGTGGGAAACTGTGTCAACACTTTTGCAAAATCCAAGTATACCACGTCCACCGCCACCCCTCTGTCCAAGGTTTTGCTCACCCCCTCAAAAAAATAAATCAGATTTGTTTGAAACTTCTGTCTTTCATGAATCCATGCTGTCTGTTGCTTAAAATATTTTTTTCCAGCAAGAACTCATCTATGTGGTCTTTTATTAAACTCTCCAGTATCTTCCCAACTATAGATGTTAAACTAACATGTCTGTAATTACTTGATAAAGATTTTGACCGAGTCCCTAAAAATTAGATACAATGGCTTTAACAGTTTTGGAATGTGGGAGGAAACCGGAGCACCCGAAGGAAACCCACAGAGGCACATGGAGAACATGCAAACTTGAAGCAGGTAGTGTCATGGTTGGGATTCGAGAAGGAACCCCACACTTTTTTTGTGGGGACCCCCATTACATCTACTGTATGCCAGACCCTCATCTAGGATAAGGGTCTGGTATAGTTAAAGGGAATCCCTGATTGTTTGTTTACAAACAGAACACATCAACTGGGAAATGTCATTTACAAGCAATTAAAAAACATTTTTTCTTTATAAATGTCAGATTTTCTGTAGTAGGTTGTATAAATTGCACAGGTGCACCACTTCCCTGGTAGGGTCTGCCATTCCTCAGGCATATTTAAAAAAATGTATTTTGTATTTTTAATGTTTAATTTTTTTTTTACATTGCAACATGTCCCCCAGGGCAATGACCTACCCCCTTCCCATCATGCCATTTGTTTGATATTCCTTTGCCTATTTGTCTTGAAAATGACCAGAACTGATTTTAAGGATTTGGCTCCTTTTGACTTCAATGGTGTCTGGATAAACACTAGAACCTCCCGTCAAAGTCTAGATACATTTGACTCATCCTTAATAACCAATTATGGCAATTTAAAACCTTTTTTGCTAGCTATCAAAACTAAAAGCCGGGGCTAAAATCCAGGTGCTTCAACATCCCAGCCTTCAAGATACTGGGGATGCTGCTGGAAAAATACAAAACTCTGTTCAGCTTCCTCAAAGCCTTTTCAAAATATTCCTTTGAATGTTTGAATTTCTTCATACCCAACTTCTGCGGTAACAGTTGGTGTACATTAGGGATTAGTAATGTATGCAACATATGAGGAAACTCACCTAAAGACTTGTGATGAATTACAACAATAATTTAATATTGCATCACAGACATTTCAAAATAAAGTTAGATTAGTGATTTTCCAAATAAGATTTCCTGTAGCACTACTTGTATTATGAACTCCGCTGTATTTCAGTTTTTAGGAAATGCCACCCAAATAATAAAGGGATTTATTTGTTTTGTGCTTCAATTTCTTATTGTTTTTGCACACAAAAAGAAAATGCAATTAAAGTGGCCCTGGTAGGAAGCATGATACATTATACATCACAGTGATGCACTGCATAGTGTTACCATAAAGAACATAAGAAAACAACAAGAAAACACAACGGACCTTGTAAACCTGTGACAATAAAAATCTGCTGTGACCTAAACGGT